TCCCCAAACATACATTTGCATCCCCAGGTACTTTTCCTGTGCATCCCTTGTCCAATTTCTGACCTTGAAGTTTTGCTAACTTAATATTTTCAGTTCCAAGCCCTTATTAATTTTTTCCTTCTAATATGGCATACTATTTTGTTTCAACAAAATTTAACATTACGAATTCCTGTTTACGTTATCATCTAGTTTGAATATGTGTGTATATGTATGTGTGCTTATGTATGTACACAAACATGGATGGAGAGAGAATGAATAATATCAGTATTCACTATCACTGGTTCCTCTAGTCTTTGATTTGTTCTGTGTTGAGATGGATTCTCTGAATCAGTTCTTTCTTGGTTATGTTCTTTCTCAAGTGTTGTCTTCAGATAATGTATGTGGGAAGTTTACTTTTCAAGCCTTGCATGTTGAAAATGTTTTTCTTTTTCCCTGACAGCTGAATATTATTTTGTCTGGGTATATGATTCTTGGATCATTTTTCTTAATAGTCTGTACATTATTCCACAGTCTTCTGCATTCCAGGGTTGTAGATGAGAATTCCTTAGCTAGTCGAATCTCTTGCCTTTGTAAAAAACTTATTCTTTATGTCTGGAAGCTTGTATAATTTTCTGTTTACACTTGAAGTTCAAGTATTTCCTGGCTTCATTTCCTGGATTTAATGAGACTTTTAATCTGAAGGCTTAAATTTTGTTTCAGCTCAGTACAAAACATGTGTGTGTGTGTATATAGTACTATATTCACTTATAATGTCTCCATCTGTTTTTTTTGTGGGTTTTTTTTGCCTTTTTAAATAGAAAAAAATCCTCCTGGAATTCCTGTTACTCTCATGTTAGGCTGCTGTATCTGCCAGCACAACCTCTTTTTTCTTCCCTCATTATTTCTCTCTTTGTGTCCTTGCTATGGGTAATAAGATGTTTCATTCACTTGGCCTTCAGATCATTAATTCAGTTTTCAACAGTGCCAGTGATTTTGTTTTTTAGTTCTTCTACAGAAATTTTTAAATTTAAAATTTAAAAGCATTAGTTCTAATTCAGAAAGCCTTTTTTTGCCACCACCTCTGATTTCCCATTGCTTTCATTATTGATGTTCTCTTCCAGTTTTTTTTCACCACTTCTTCTTCAGTGGGACCTGCCTTTTGTAGATGTTTTGTATGATCTTCTCTCAAGTGAGCTAGTCCCTTTACTTAGGTATTGTTTTTGTTATGCCTACTCATACCTGCTCATTGATGTATGTTCTTTTGATTTTCATGTAGGGTTTCCTAGTTTCTTTGGCATTAACAAATCTGAAAGCAGTGAAAGATAGAGAATTTTTTGTCCTGACCTTCTGCCTGGCAGGGGGCAAAAGCAAGCGGCCCCTTCTCTTGGTCAGCAGTCCCACTGCTTTCCAACTGCTAATCTTTGAAGCCCCTCAGCCTGCCAGTGCAGCCTGTCTTTCTCAGGACACTGTCTCTAATTCTAATCCTACAAGTGTCCCCCCTCCCCTGACTCCCCAAAGCTTGCTTGAGATGAATAGCTGTCCTTGGAGAACAGATTGTTCACTAAAACACCTCAGGGAATGACCTAACCCTGATCTTAGTAGAAGCCTCAGAGGGAGGCAAACCTTCTTTCTTGCTGTCAGTTCCGTGTCTTCACTCACTAACAAGAGTAAGTATTATACTTGGTGTTTCTCCTGGAGATTCCTGGAGAACCTGTGGCCTCAGATACAGGCTCTAAATTTTTCAAATTCTACTGCTTTTATACATCCATATTACCAAGAGTTGATATAAGAAGAGGCACAAATGAAGTAGACCCTAATAGTGTTGAATAATCCTGATAGAGGGTGGAGTTGCCAGAGGCATCTGCAGCTGTAAAACCTCCTGTCTCCTGGGCTCAGTCATTTTCCATGAATGTTCTCTGGCCAACTTATCCTAATTTGCTGTGAGGGCAGAGACATCCCTCTTCTTGCACTTATTGGGGGAATAATGTACTTGGAATAACTTAGTTGTGCTGCAGAGTATTGAGTTGTTTAACCACTGGTCTCTTAAAAAAAAAACAACAACTAATGCTCAGTAGTTTAACACAGCAAGCCTTTATTTGGCTCATTGAAGCCTGTGCTCTGCTGGGTGGTTTTTCTGGTCTCAGCTGGATGTGGCTTCCTGGGGGTGTGTGATCCAGGTGCTGTGCTCCAAATATCTCTTATCCTCCTCCTGGGACCAGTAGGCCAGCCCTTCATGATCTGTTCATGGTGGTGCCAGAGGTGCAGGAGAGCAAGCAGAAACACTTCATGCCTCTGCAAGCTTAGATTCAAAACTGGCATACCATCACGTCTTGCTCTTTCTTTTGGCCAAATCCAGTCACATGATAGAATCACAGTGTGGGGGTTGGAGGAGGAGAGTGCAGTGCTACAAATTATATGGCCAAGGATGTGGATATGTGGATGGCCGAAGAGCTTGGGGCAATAAGCTCACCTTAGCTGTTAAAAATTACAGTGCAGTTTTTCTAAGTTATAATGCCACCACAAAGGAGAGACCCATGCATTTCACTTTGAGGTAGTGGGGAAACTTTTGCTGAGGAGATGAGGTTAGAACTAGACCATAAGAATGACTTGGAGTTTGCCAAGTAGATAAGGATGACTGGAAGGAGCAATATTCAATTAAGACAGAAGGAACAGTCCAAGTAGAGGCTCAGAAGTCTGTGAATGAGTGGACATTTGGGAAGTGATGAGTTGTCCTGTGTGGTTGTATCATTAGAATTAATCCTTCTACACTTCTCTTCTTCCATAGCATCACTCTTTCTAGTGCACTGTCAGAGTTCCCAAAAAATTTGAATTGTAGGCTATTTCCCACAAGGAGTTAGCCTAATGTGAATTCTTCAGAACATCCTACATCAGGACTTCTTTCTTTTAGAGCTCAGAAAAAGTTTCCTAAGATGAAGGATTTAGCACATATGCATTGAGTTTCTACTGGTGCTAGCACTCTTTCAGTGTATCTGCCAGTTAGCCTAGCTCATGTGTTCTGCCATCTATGACACATTTGAAAAAAGTCATTAGTGATAAATAACATTTGTTTGCTTTCAAAAGACATTTATTCCTCACAGAATGTCACCTTTTCTGTGAAGCCTTCCTTGATACTTTCTCCTCTTTATTTCTGCCAGATTATATTAGGTTCTGCTACAGGTTCTCATTTTTCTCTCTACTTCCTTCAGAACATTTTTGTTAGTTTCTGATTTTAGGTGTGGTTGTTTGGTCACTGTTTGTCTCCGCGGTTAAACTCTCAGCTTCTGTGAGAGCAGAGAACTGGGTCTTTGGCATACCACTGGTTTCTCCAGGTGTAGCGTAGTTCCACGGTCATAGTAACTGAATACTACATATTTATCAAGTGAGTGAGTGAATGAATGCATCTCATTCACCTAGACTTTTGGCTCTGTGAGATAGGTTTATCTTTAATATTGCATGAGCATCCCCCCTGGTTTACCATTTTCCTTTGAGGTAGACAGACCATATTCATTCCTTAGTGCTTCCATTCAGTCAGCTGAATGTGGACTAGTATTGGAGATAGAGTTGAATAGGGCTGGTGTTGCTCTGAAGGAGTTGCTGGATGAGTGGGAGAGATGGAGAAGTGAATGGGCAAAGACAGTTACTATGTAAGTGTCAGCCTCTTAGGGTATGTCCAGATTGGAGCTTAGGAAAGATGCATTGGACTCAGCTTGCCCTCCATTGGGACTTCATGAAACGAGACAATATGAGCTGAGTCACAAAGACTAACTAGCATTAGATCTACAACAGGGAAGAACATTCTGGGCATAATGAAGCAAAAGGGTCAGTGTACAGGCAAGTGAGGTATCAAGGCCTGTTCTAGGAAACTTCAAGTAATTCAGTATTACCGAATGGAGAAAGGAGGGGCGGGAATAGCAAGGGCCCTGGAGGTCGGTATGGTCATATCACAGATCTTGAGTATTTTAAGCCCTGCTAATGACTGTTCTTCTTCCTGAAGGTAATGATCAACAGCTGATGGGGTTCCTCAGGGAGTGATAGCATCAGATTTTATTTTATGAAGTTTGCTCTAGACACACATGGAGAACAGATTGGAAGGCAAAAGGACTATTGGAAAGATAAATAAAGAAGCAATGAATTACACAGCATGATTAAAGCTGGAGTAGAAGATATGCTGCATCTTCTGGGAGCTTAGAGGAGAGGCACCTAACCCAGAACTGGGGACTCAGCCTAGGCTAAAGGAAGTGTTTTAGTTATTGGGGGAAGAAGCTGGGAAGTGCTTTCCAAACAAATTGCAATAGGGCAAAGTGGGACAAAGGCACAGAAATGTGCAAATACATGTTTTTGTTTTTTTTCAGAGAACTGCAAATGATTTTTTTATTGCTGGAGTATATAATACTCAGGATGAATGGATAGAAATGAAGCTGGAGAGGAAAGCACCTTCCAGCATTCAAGTCTTGCTCTTATTAAATGTTGCTTTGGATTGGAGTAACCACGTATATTCCAAGCACTTTTTAAGACACTTTTTTATTATAGAGCCTTTTGAACATGTGTAAAACAGAGTAATGTAATAAATACTCATTTACCCATCACCCATGACACCACTCTCCCTTCTCCTGTTATTTTGAGGCAAATCTCAACTATTATATAATTTTATGCATAAATATTTCAGTATGTATCACTAAATGATAAGGAGACTTTTGAAAATTATAACCACAGTGCTCAGTATTATCAAGTATTTAGTGGTGTAATTTCTAATTATTTCACCAATGTCATAAATATAGATAAAAGTACACATGTTCATATACACTGTTTGATTAGGATCCAAATAAAGGTCTGAGACCTTTTTAAAGTGAGAGAAGTTGTCAATCATTAACAGGTATAAATGGGGACTTTTGATTTAAACAGGGATGTATAATTACCTACTTTGTTTTATTTTGCTTCTTTGATAACTACTGCAGATATCTGGGCAGGTATTTGGCAAAATGCGTAGCTCATATGATTCTACTTCTCTCCCATTTTCTTAGGTCTCTCTGCTCCCTGGTGTGTAAATGGACATACTCGGCAGAGAAAGGCTGGGATGACAGTTTCTGGAAGATGATTGGCTTGGAAGACTTTGTTGCAGAAAATTACAGTAGAATAGGTAAAAAAAAAAATATATATATATATATATATANTATGTGAGAATATTGGTGACATTTTTGTTTTTATGTGAATTAAAATACAGAAGTGCAGCCCTGTTTTTCCAAGAGAAATGAGAAAGTTATGATGGGTAGGCCATGACTAAGTAGTTCCTTGTATTAGAGCTTATAGAAACTGAGTGGAGATACAGGCTGTGAAAATCTGCATTGAAATAGAGAATCTTAGACATTGGACTAGACTGAGGAAGACATTTGCATGGACTAGCTGGGAATAGTTTAGATCATCTCCAGTCACTACTAGGAAAATGTTTTGTTAATCAGGTGACTGAGTGCCAGGGGAGCGGCTCTTGTCCTGAAGAGGCGATTGCAATTGAAGGGGGCAGGTGAGTTGGGTCTAAAACACTGAACTGGGAGCTAGGATAGTTCTAGTTACAGCACTAATGGCACAAGTGTAGACAAATCTTGTAATGTTTCTGTATCTCTATATTCTTGTCTGTGCAATACATAGTTCATGGAAGTGATTAAAACTAATAGTTTACCACTTCTCAGACATATTATTGCATTATAACCTTTATCTCTTAAAATGTTCAAAACTGTGTAACAGTATTATTGTTACTTATCCTGTTTCACAACTGCAGAAACTAAGAATCAGAAAAGGAATCTGATGGTTGCACAATTTGAAAGTGGTGGAAACAGAATTCATACTCACACATGCTTGGTTGATTCCAAATCCTGCTCTAACTGTTCTGCTCTACTGACTTCCAACTAATGTTCATAGTGTGCCTATAGTAGGCAACGTATAAGTACGAATCCTCCTTCCTCTTATGAATTTCATGCACATTTCTGTGTGCTTTTGCGTAGCTTGGTTACATGTAATTCTCACAACCAGTGACAAAAGTACTGTGCCCTTGTTAATAGATGAGAATTAGATAAGTAACCTTGTCTAGCTACATGTAGAACTAGTTAATGATAAGTCAGGATTGAAACCCTTCTGATAGGGGGGCCTAGAAGGAGTTAATATCTTAATGGAAGACAAATTTCAACTGCAGTTACTTAACTGTTTACATGTCAAAATTTATATGGCCCCCCACCTTGAAATTTAGTTGTTCTTTCCAAGTATTCCTGTGGTATGTTGAACATAGCTTTATTGATTACGTGTTGTGTCTTGCTCCTAACACTAGACTATGAGCTCCTTGCCATCAAGATTTTTACTAATTTACCTTTTTGTTCTTGGTCCTAGCACAGGGCATGGCACATGTTAGTAGCTAAAGTACTATTTGATTAGTAAGTGGACAAGTTAATGACTGAGATGGTTGGAACTGTAAGTGGACAAATTAGTGACTGAGATGGTTGGAACTGGTATGTTGGCACTGACTGTTTTGTAAAAGCTGTAATGATTTTTACTGATTTTAGCATGTCTGTGGTGACTTGGTTCCAATTTCCACTTGGGTCCAATTTTGAGATGGTTGGAACTGGTATGTTGGCACTGACTGTTTTGTAAAAGCTCTAATGATTTTTACTGATTTTAGCATGTCTTTGGTGACTTGGTTCCAATTTCCACTTGGGTCCAATTTTAATGCTGTGGTGTCTCCCTCCTTCCCCTTCACACAAAACCCATGCTTAATTAGTATATTAGCTCTGCTAATAGAGCAATACCTACAGGAAATGTTCATTAGAAGTCCATAATCTTAATCTAGCAGAAAATTTACAGAGTAACTTTATTAGATTTTGCCTGTTAAGTTAATGGATTTTTAATGCATGTCCTAAGGAGATACATTATCAGCCAGAATATTGCCATACATGAATTAAAATTTGCCCATTCATCAAAATTAATTATGTGATGTTTCCTTTGATTTTCATTTCTGGTGACTTGAACTTATAGTTTCAGTCTGGACCAAAAGCACAAGATATGAAAGAGGCTGTTAACTCTCAGTTGTGACTTTCAGAGACTCCTTTGCAGGATACTTCCAGACATTCTTTAGCAGTTCTTGGAACTATGAAAAATGAATCTCGGAAGCTTCCATTTGAAGTGTTAAACATTTTCAGTGGACTCATTGCCCATCAAGATGTGGGCACTATACTGCAAAACCTTTTAGCAGATTTAAGCAGAGCATCATGGATTTGAGCATTAATATAATTACCATAATTCCCTCCTTGTGGAGCTTTCAGCCAAGTCTTTACCAGCCTTCCTGGTCTCATGCAGTAAATAAATGCTTTCCCTGAAAACTGAACACCTCAGCAACTGATGGTCTTATGGAGGGATATTTTTGAGATAAATTATTTATGAAGTGTAAATTAAGGATCGAATGCAATATTTATATGGTGTATTTCAAGGACAGGGGAAGAAATTTACAATGTTTTAAGTAATGACATGCAGGTTTCCAAAGGTAAAATGTTACTACTTACTACCTTCTTTCAAGGAGGCATTTGGATGGCTTGGTTTGGGAACATTAAACAAAGTATGGGGGAAAAAATAGTTTTGCAATTAAAAAAATGTAGTAGACATTTCTTTACAATTGAAACTCTCCTACTCGATTTAATATTCACAATTGATGGAAAAAACTCAAACCCAGTGTTTTTTAGGGAATTATATACCCATAGTCCAATAAAATGATCTGTGTCAATGAATTTTGACCTTCAGTTCCATGTGAATCATTCCCAGGTTAGCTGTCTAATCCTAAACGTCTATCAATGGCAAACAGGAAGGAAGAGATCAGCAGAGAGAAAGGGCCCTTAGGAAGATAAGCGACATCCCACCTGTTCTAATCGATTGTCCAGGCTCTCTTTGAACATGTCCCAGATGCCTTTTTACATTCTCGGAAAAGTAGTTCATTGGGTTATTAGGTTGGGCCGCTTTGTGAAAACTCGGTTGTATAACATGGTTGAATTTATAGAGTGATTATTTATTTTAGAGAAAAGAGCTTTGTTATACACAAGGCTTCAGTGTGTTAGCTTATCGATCACTAATTATTTGGGGTTAGAGAACAGGCAAAGAAAAAACTTAAAGTTCAAATAGAAGGAGTTACTCTTACACGAGAGGCAGAAATGAAGATAAAGCATATATGATGGAAAACAGTTCCTTAAGGGGAGGGAGGCTAATTGTTTCACTACTTTTCTCTCCTCTGTGAGTCTGTATTTTTGGTAAGGACACTGGGCACAGTCATCTGGCACATAGTAGATACTGATGAAATATTTGTTGAATGTGTGAATATATGTTTGAATGAAGGATTTGATAAATAAGTCCCATTTTTGGCTTCAACTGTCCCTAATACTTAATGGATTCTCCATAAATTGTTTTGAATTAAATATATTACTAGGAGACAGGCAATGATTTAATTTAGTAAATTCAGTGTTCATAGTCTCCTTTTTTCACTGACATATTTGCTACTTATGAAGGGGCTCCTGTGGAGTGTGGAGGACACACCCCAACCTGAATGTTAGCTGCAATCCAATGTCACTCATACCGAAAATCTCTCAGAGACACAGAAAAACAAGCAAACAAACAAATTTAGGAAGATTAGGAATATCGCTTGTCCATAGAGTAAAATAAACCCTGCAGTTCACTGAAGCTGCCTTTTGGATATTTTTATTTTTGTCCTTTAGGCTTAAAATTGCAGGAAAAGAATCTTGGCTAATCACAAGTATGTACTGAGGATGAAGATGTGCCAGTGCTCACCACTGTTCCACTCTAAAAGGTCACAGGACAGTGTGGTTTATAAAGCCTGTAGACATGTTAGCTATTATCACTTTTAAGTGTATCTTGGCACTAGGAGGACAACAGTCTGCACTCCCTCCACACTCTATTTCCTGCCTTGTGGGTCTGAAAGAAGTAACTGCTTTTCCCTTACCCCAGCCACCACCACCGTAGATTCCCAGCAGTCCAGCTTCAGTTGCTGGCCCTTCCAGGAACACCCCTGCAGAGCCAGAAGGGCCAGGGAGCAGCAATGAGCACATCAAGTTGTAAGGTAGTGACCTTCCGAGGCTTTGATGTATGTAAGGTTTCATGGAGCCGCTCTTTCTTTCAGTGTGGCATCTGGGATGTGATTGGAAGATCCCCCAAAAGTGAGGTCAACCTCTCTAAACTCTCTTCCTACTGCCAGACAGCTGGTGAATACCAGAGCCGAAGGAGATCGTAGAGATTTTGCCCTCATTTTATAGACAAAGAACCAAGACTCAGAGAGAGAGGGTGAATTGTCTTGGTCTTAAAGCATTTTAGTAACAAAGTTGAGATCAGAAACCAGATCTTCTGACTCCCACTTCCATTGCCTCATGCCGCTACTCATGCTTGCCCTTTCCAACAAATTTTGGTCATGGGACAATCTGGTTATGGTCACTTGAAAGGGACTAAGCACTAGAAGAATGACACTGAGGAACAGACTTACGTGGGTGAATTAATGTCCATTGTCCAGTCTTCAGCCTTGCAAATGTGGCAACTGAACTTGGCCCAAAAAACCAGGGATAGTTGAATCTAGGATTATGCGTATCTTTCTCTTAACCTACTGATACAGATAAACTATAATAATGAAATAATGTATTAGCCGTGCCTATTTTAATGGTTAAGAGTTTGGTCACAGTGTCTGACAGGCCTGAGTTCCCTTTGGACTGTGACACCTACAAACTTTGCAAGTTCTGTCATATGTATTGTGGGAGGTACTTGATTTTCTGAGCCTTAATTGGTGTATTATGAGGATTAATTAATAAGATTAAGGAAATAATGCAGATAAAGATCCTAGAATATAGTAAGTCTTCAGAAAATGTTTTCTTACTCTTTTAACTGTTCATTCTCCTGAATTCAGATTCCTCTCTAGGTGAAAGGTCATGTCTGCCAAAGACTGTACCTCTGAATAATTCTGTGTAATTATTGCCAACTTCTGACTTTTAGGAAGGCCTCTTTCTGAGCTCCCCCAGGGGTTCACACAGCCTTTTTCTGAGCAACATATAATAAAACCAATAGGATTTTTTTTTCTAAATCATAATCACATTCTATTCTTACCTCTTTGAG